CTATCCATTTAATAATTTCATGCCTCAAGTAGCTAGAAAATGAAATAGTTATTCTGTATGAAGACATCTGGTGAACTTCCTTTAATCACAAGCATTATCATTCAGATTAGTTCTTGATACAAGAATAGTTTAACTTGAAGGAACTTCAAAACAATGCTGTACTGTTGTTACTTACACACCCAAAGTTATGTAATAGTTATTATCACTAACCTGAGTTCAAACTGCTACTTGTAAATAAAAATGTTAAGAAATTATTAAGCAAAATTGTTCACTTTTGAAATATTCAGCTTTTTTAAAATTTAACAGATTACATCAAAACCAATGAAATTATCTGGTAGATCATAAGTTGTTATCAGCAGTTCTATTTTATATAAATAATTTCATTTTTTCTTAAGAGATATTTCAATTGTACCAAACTAAGCATATAAGTTCTTTAAATTAATGAAAACGTTGGTAATTCCATGCTTTTCATTATGTAATGTAAAACAAGCAGTTAAAATGCCTTTGAAAAAAAGTAGGAACGAACCTGTGTTATTGTTTGTCTTTGAATAAAAATAAGCATCGTGCAAAATAAGTTTAATATATCAGCTGTACTTTTCTGTTACTATATATATATCTTGGCTGTTATACAACTTATACAAATATTTATTTTATGACCTGGGGTTGCACAATATGGCAACATAAAGAATGGCTCCCTTGTTATGAAAATTCCTATTGTGGTATACAAATAGAATAGCCATAACCACCATACCAAAAATAAAAATATTTAGAAGCATAGCTGTACTTGCCTTCAGAAGAAAACACATTACAATGCAATTCTGACAAGGCCTCGCTTTTCCTTTCGCTATAGTTTAACCTACTGCATAGCTAATTTTCAAGTTTCTCTTACCAACCAGTATATAACAATAACTCCCTTGTTTTTTTAAAAAAAAGATCTGAAATATTCCTGCACTGGTCATTTGCAGCAATAAATTTCTAGCAAAGTTTTTGTTTCCTCTCCAAGTAAACAAGTTGTTATTGATGAATGTGAGAAACAGCTACATTGATTCATAGAATTACAAAGACAGGTCTTCAGCCTTCTAAGAGTATTGAAATTCCTTTCAGCTTCAGCAGAGGAAGCAGGAACAACTAACAATAACCTCACAAGGGCCTCAATCTGACCAAAAAGGCCAAGGTTCTCAGGCAGTATGCTCTTCAACCCGTTTTGCAGCTTCATTGCTGGAAATTTAGGTGTATTTTGAGATGAATATGTAATGACTCCCTGGTCATTTGTAGGTACAAGCCTTCCTGGTCGAAAGGCTTTCTGAACTGCACATATACAGTGTCTAGCAGCTTGAAGTACTCAGTTTTGTAGTACTCCAAAGGAGATATTGATACATGCACAACAACCTTATCAGTAAAGCATTTGGTTGATTTTCTCATATCTGGCAATTGAATTGGCTGGATATTCAAAACGTCGATTTATTCTGTTAATTTGCCATATGCTTTCCTCTATTCTTTTTTATTTGAGAGAGGTTTTGATACACTCCACAGAAACAACCATTTGTGTTCTTTATTGCAAAGAGATGTTCAGGCACTTGATCACTTCAGTGGCTAGGATTATTACTAGGCCAATTTTTCCCTCTTGAAATATTTCCAGAAGTTTATTTACTTTAGCTGATGAAACCACAATTTCTAAACTAAGTAACGCTGGCTCGTTCTGGTTAGCTCTCACCAAATGTGTGGGGCAAGGAATTTTCAAAGTAGTTTAGGATCTACGCTGAGAGTTTGTATTGCTCCAGATATTACCTTGAATTTCCCTGATTGTCCAATGAAGTGTCCCAACTCTTGAACCCACCGCAAAGAATCCTGAATCAAGGGAGAGGCTGTACAAGCTGCCTGAGTAATGAGATTTACACATTGAGGACCACAATGGACATATAGAGCTAGTGGTTGTTATTTTCTATGAAACGTTTATGCACCTCAGTATTGGCCTGATACATTTGTAGCACCATCGTATGTTTACCCATGAAAGCAGAAGGAGGTAGATTGAGTCACACTAAGACATCAGTGGTAACCTTAGATATTCTTTCTCCTTTTGTTCAAGACATTTCATAGAGACCTACAAATTCTTCATAAGGTATCAACTCTTGATCTGCAAAGCGGTGGCAGATAAACTCTTGTTTCTTGCCAGATGTATCTTGTGTTCCATTAATGATCACTGAATATTACAGTAGTGGCAGATAACTGATTTGCTTTGCAATATCTCACACAATGGAGTTACCCTTTGGACCCAGGATCTCATTTTGATTTTTAGGGCAGGGATAATCCTCACTATGCGCCAACCACATACAGAATTTGGGATCATTCTCTGACCTCAACTTCAGCAGATAGCTTATATTCACCCCCTTTTCCTCGTGACCTCTAAAAGCCAACTCTTGATGTTCCAGAAACTGCACTGTGCTTACAATCCTCAACAGGCAAGATTTTACCTGATGAATCCAAGTTTCCAATGAACAGCAACTGCCTGTTGTAGAAACCTACAAATGTAGAGGACAACGTTTGGAAAGTATTCCGCCTTTCATCTTCAGATTTTACCTCTTGTTGCTATTACACCAAAGCACTAGAGAGCTGGGTATCTTTTGATCTTGCCTCCTGAACATGAGTTTCCACCATTACATTATGCAATTGACAATCAGCATGCTTGACAAACTTCTCTAGGCTATTTTTTTTTCCAATTTCTATATTTTTAGGATACAAATGCAGGGTCTGCATTTTTGGCAAGTGGTGACTTTTTTTACCACTGAAAGCTTTTTTGCAATAAAGGCATAACACCCCTAAGGTATTGCAGCTACTCTTTCTATCTCTAAGGTAATCAGTGTACTTAAAAATAACAACAAAGTATAGTAATGGGAAGTTTGGTGCCATGACCTCAGAATTTGTATTTGTGAAATATTCTGTGTTTCCTTAATGGGTATATTTCTGCACTTCTTGGCTACACTACAGTCCTTGTTTGAAAGGAGATGACAGAAAATGTTATGCAGGGTTGAACTGGGTTTCTTATCTGACTGTACTGAAGGAACAGATTAGATATAAATTGACAGAAAAAAAAACATTATTCTTCATTGTACAAAATTCAAACACAACTTAGCAGGGCATGTACACTTGGTCAATAAGCAGTTTTAATTTCTAGAGAAAATCTTTATCATCCAAAATCTGACTGAGAATGAATTAATTGTTATATACAAAACAATAGTCATCCATTACCCAAGTCACTCTTGGTTATCCCACAAGTAAAAATATGGAAACATTATCTCCAGACAACATCAAAGCTTTATAAAGTTAACCTTCCTATAGAGACTACACGGTATAAAAAAATATATGTAGTTCTACAGAGAAGTCTTCCATTGGAAAGAGAAATGAACCAGGACTACGTGCAACTAGAACAACAACAACTTAGTCACATTCTAGAACCAGCTCTCTACTGATAAACCTACACATGTATGGCATATATACATGAAAAGAATAATAAATACTTGATAGGTTTCACATACCAGAGAAAATAAACTGGCTATAAATTTCAAAGTGTTATTAGTAGAATGTGGAGCTAATTAAAGGTTTTAAACCATTGGTATAGATAATCAGACACGTGGATGAGGCAGAGCATCATTCACAACACAAGCACATGACCACTGTCTGTTCATTCTGGCTTATTGCAATTGTAGGATACCTGTGTTAAGACCAAATATGATGTTCACAGTCACAACTGGATGCTGTGAGAGTGTACAGATCATGATGAATAATTTCACAAATCTTAGTGAGATGCATTACACTTACAGTAAAGCACAAAACATCTCACTTGTAATGATGCCAAGAATATGTCCAGTGAACAAAGAGTATATAGAGCAATATAATTTTTTTATAGATTAGTCAAGCTTCACTCTTCAGCCACATAACAATTGTATAATCATTTAGGAAGGAATCTGGAACCAAGTCCAACCTCATTATCATACAATTTGTTTGTTTCAAACAATCATGCAAAGCTATATAAGGGCTATTTGCACTATCCATCCCAATTCTTTAACTTATTAACTATTAGGCTACTGTAATATAATAGTAGGATTTGACCATCAATCTTATAATGCATTTATGGTACAAAAGTGCAGAGCATGTTGTTATGGCAATGAGATGTGAACCATGGGCCTTTAGATTCACAGTCCCTCACACTAACCACTAAGCCATGCCATATAATGACATGATACATAAGATAATGTTTGAAGTATCGGGTGAGAAAGAATAAATACTGTTGGAGGTACAGACCACTGCATCCTGCCAAATGGTAATGTTAATGCCAGACTTTATAAAGACTACATCATGTGGCCCTTATTTCAGCTTAATGGATAATAACATACACTTTCTTATGCTAAACTGATTGACACATTCCTTGAAGAGGTTGACCAAATAAACTGGCCTTCACCTTTATCATACTTTAATTCTTTTAAACTTATATGGAATGCTCTTGTGAGATGTGTCATGTTCTGTCAAATAATTACAAACATAAAGATGTCCTAGAAATAACTCCTTTAAAGGAGTGGTTAAGTACCTCATGACCCTATCAACACTGATTTTAAGCATGCAACATCAATGTCAGGCTGTCTTTACTGTGCATGGTGACCACACTCCATATTGAAGTGAAATGTCTTGAACTGTAAAGATGTAAATCTGTCCCTACCAAATGTTCATTTATGGGCGTACCTCAATGACCAAGTATTTGTATTTCATATGATATGACAGATAACCAAATACATGTTTTGCATAAAGAGTCCAAGGTTGTGATGAATATTATTTTTTAAAAGTATTTTTGCTTTGTCCTATCTAAAATATTATATACAATGTATTTTGTTTGGTGCAAGAAGAAACGAAGGGCCTTTCTTCACTTTTAGATGGCCCTAAACTGATAGTTGCTATAATTCCCTTGTAGTATATGGTGGACATTTAATTCTATTTGAACTGGAATTTACTTTTTTGTGCAATTTATTGATTGTAAAATACTTTCGTCAATTGTCACTAAAAATTTACTGTATACATGCCCAACATGTTTAAAAGAAAATTTAAATATTTACAGTATATCATTCAATTTGACCACATCTGCATAGTAGAATGCAAAATGTACTGTTATTATCATTTTATTTGGCAGTTCATGACTTATGATGAACAAAACAGCTTGATGAGTACTGTATGATTGAAATATGATGTACTCAAATTGACTGTTTTATTTTCTTAGTAATTACATACAAGAATTTTAAAAGTTAATAGATTTTATAAGGAGACCAAGTAACAATAACCTAATATCTTTTATGTGTGAATTCTAGCTAAAGAAACAAAGAAAAACAAAGTTGCTAAATTATAAGCTTTGCATTTCAAGAATATACAAACAAATACATACATATATGTTTGAAGTATCTTACATATTAATTATTAATCACTACTTACATAAGGCCTATAAAATTAAATGCTAATAAAATGAGCAAATCATATTATGGTGAAATGATTTAAGTTTACTGAAGAATTTTCACCTGTATGATTTTTCCAGATGTAAAAAAAAGAGCAGGGTTTATTTGAAAAAATTCTAGTTTTCAGGAGCTTTTGATGCAGTATTTGCTTAAACGTTGAATTATGAAAAACTACATAAATGTTCTAAATATGAGCTAATAGAACTTAGCTTAAATAATCTGAACAATGATGTACTGGTGTAAGATATTTCACAAAACACATTATTAGTGCCATTAAAAGTTCAAGAAAACTAGTACAATCAACTTTTAAATTTTCATTCTTTATATAAATGAAAGAGTCCAAATATGAAGAAAGAGTTTACAAAAGTTTTGTGCAAGTGTAACGACAAGAACTGAATTATGGAAGCAGAGTAAAATATTCCTATGCAGAGCAGAACCATAACTTATTAACACAGTAAAATAAATCATACATTTAATTTATCTTCATAAATTTCTGTGAGTTGATTGTCCTCTAGTGAACCAAGATGTTGATGTAAAATAAATACATATAATAAATAGAAAAAATATTAAGTAAAACAAATATCTGTTCCTTCACCTTAGTTCAAATATCTGTTTCTTTACCTTAGTTCAAATATCTGTTCCTTTAACTTAGTTCAAATATCTGTTCCTTTAACTTAGTTCAAATATCTGTTCCTTTACCTTAGTTCAAATATCTGTTCCTTTAACTTAGTTCAAATATCTGTTCCTTTAACTTAGTTCAAATATCTATTCCTTCACCTTAGTTCAAATATCTATTCCTTTACCTTAGTTCAAATATCTGTTCCTTTACCTTAGTTCAAATATCTGTTCCTTTACTTTAGTTCAAATATCTCTTTCTTTACCTTAGTTCAAATATCTCTTCCTTCACCTTAGTTCAAATATCTCTTCCTTCACCTTAGTTCAAATATCTGTTCCTTTACCTTAGTTCAAATATCTGTTCCTTTACCTTAGTTCAAATATCTGTCCCTTTAACTTAGTTCAAATAGCTGTTCTTTTAACTTAGTTCAAATATCTGTTCCTTTACCTTAGATCAAATATCTATTCCTTTATCTTAGTTCAAATATCTGTTCCTTTATCTTAGTTCAAATATCTGTTCCTTTACCTTAGTTCAAATATGTATTCCTTTACCTTAGTTCAAATATCTCTTCCTTTACCTTAGTTAAAATATCTGTTCAAAGGTATCACAGGCATATATATATATATAATGAGTTAAGTTATTGTGAATTTTGTTTAAAATGTTAGTTTTAGGTTACAAAATTCTTAAAATATATCCAGAATGTATTTTCAGATACAACTCTCAATGTAATACCGTACTCAAAAAAAACACATGTTAGCAAATACTCTAATAACAATCATTCCAGATAATTCTGTAAAACTTAATCTAGTGGCAAAAACAGATAAGTACATTTAATCACTACAGCTCTTAACCCTGACATCTCCTAAAGTAAAACTAGTCCTAAGACAAATAATTAAAAATTGTCTTTTAATACATGCATTATAACCTGCAACTGTTTTGTGAGTTTGAATATTTCTGCTTAGCAGGACATTGTATGTTATTTAAAAAAACAACTATTAAAAGATATATTTTTCAACTCTCACTCTTTAAATGTATATTAGAAAACATTAAAGTAAACAATGATGTATGTCCTATTTTTTAATAAGGTTAAAAGACTTCACTTGTCCTAAAATCCAATCAATAAGGAGAAATGAAAAGAAGTTGGCTAGCTCACATGCAGCAGACAAAAAATCTATTCAAACAAAGATTTAAAAGCCTCATGTTTGGTGCAGACATTCCTATTCACTTGCTATTACATTGCCTTGTAAGAAACAATGGGCAAATATAGTAAAATATGCACAACTTTCTTTTAAAAGCCATTAAAACAGTGTTTTTAGCAGTATTAGGTTTCACCGTTGAATATGAATATAAACTTATTTCATGGTGAAAAGCCTAAAGGAGATGGTGGTGTTTCCCTTCCCGATTGTTGTGATGAATCAGATTGTTAACAATTCATCTAATGATGAAACTATGCGTGACTTGATGATCATCAAGTATTGGGTAATTATTAATAGTTTTAAAATTATAACTAATTACTATTTATGATTCTTTACACATAGAAAAAAAAAGTTAATATATTCACTCTTTAGGTTTATTACAAAGATTCAGTTAGTCTATTTCAACCAAGGATGGCCTTGTTCACAGCAACATCCACTGTTAAAAGGTATATAACTAGGAGAAGTCTATATATATACATATACATATCTCATCAGTTTATGTTTTGTGATTAATGATTCTGACTCATCTAAAGATGGCAGTGCAGTTTTGACACATCTGGAAATTGTGAAGGCCAGTCTTCAACTCCAGGTCATCATCTAATGAAGCATCCTCTAATTTGGGAAAACAGCTCTAGCAAGTACACTTACAGAAACTAAATGGCATGGTACTTTGCCTATAGTAACTAAGTAAAAGAACAAATAAATTACTTTAGATCTATATTGAAGACTGAGTCATTGAAACCACAGTGGACCAAACAAATCTTTTTGCAATACAATAAAATCAAGTGAACAAAGTTTAGTAATGATAAAAATGGATTGGAATACTTTTTTGGCATGTTTCATAAAAGTTATTAGTTTGTATTCATTTCTGTTGGAGCAATGACACTAAAACTGATCATGTTTTGTCTTATCAGTTGAATTTCCATTACCTAATTTAATTTCTGTCTGACTCAACCACAAGCATAAACTTACCATTCAAACTGATTTCTTTCTTCAAGTCATATTTGAGTTGCATATGAAGTTACACATATGTGTGTGTGTTTGTGAGTATTGATTCAATTTAAGTTGGTCTGCTAGTAAACAGAGAATCTCATATTAAATGATCAATATATAACTGAATAACATGTTAAATAACCTAGTACAGCCAGCACTAGGTAACAGCTAAAAAACTATAGTGGTGAAAGAATATGAGAATGTCGTAGTGCCACCATTTATCAAAACAAATAGAAAAGGACTCACTCAACCTATTCCAACAACAATTGTCCACTTTGACAACATTAGACATTGGCCCGTTTTAGCCCAAAAAATAAAAACTGTTTCACACGCTTCATAACTTATACAGTATTGTATAATTTTTTCTCAATATTGCTTCAACTTAAAAAAGCCCTAATCTTGTTATAAGTAAAAATATATAATTTCTACAGTTTGTCTTTTATATATGTTTAAAATGTATTATCATAAAGAAGACCATAAAGAGTTAACACGATCTTGATGATAACATTTTGTTTTTTCTGAAGCATCCACTTTTCAAATTAAATTTTTCTGCTTTCAGTCAACTTTTAGATAAATTTGTCATTTTTTAAATAAACAAATAACTACCAAGTAATTCAAAATTCCAGCTTTCTCTTAATAATTCTAAATATATTTACTGTAATTTTATTTCAATTTCATAATTTTATTACGCTAACTTTTGTGAAATTTTAGCAGGAGAACTGATAGTACTGACTAATGTTACTTACAGTTGAATTGAAACATATAAGAGGTAACAGATGGCTAGCTAATCTTTATATAAATTCAATGATATATAAGAAATTTGTTGAAAACACGCTTATTATAGCATTATAAAAAGCAACATGGAAACTAGGCATATACAGTTACCTTTGTTCATTACTGTAGGGATGTGAGGTAGCACTACGAAAAAATTAAGCATATGTTGCCACTAATTGCAGTATTTAAAAGTTTATTTATGAAGCTGAATGTCTGGGGTTTTGTTAAAATTGAATTTTTTTTTACTAAACAATCTGATTTCTTTACTATTAAGTGCACATCTTTTTACATCTTTTCAAATCAAGTAAATTTACAGCCACCACAATCTTTGTTGAACAATGTACTTAGGAAAAAGTGCTGACTGAATAATGAATATATAACTAAATAACTTGTTAAATGATCTAGAACGGCCAGCACTAGGTAACATCTAAAATATCATTATTTAACTTTTCCTTTATTAATACTTTTAATGTTTCTCCAATGATTTGACCAGCATTGTGATTTACTACTGGTTAAATAGTAAGTAGCTGATATAACCTCTAAAAAGGCAACGATATATGAAAAACTTTGACTTTCATGTTGCCATAAAAGAAGAACTAAAATTTGTTCTCAGAACAATAAATCAATAAATAACTTTTGGAATACGCTATTACTTTAAACACATTCTTCTGTTCTTTACATACAGATCTCTTAGCACAAAAGAATCACAGATGGCACAATCAACTTCCTGTCAACAGTTTTAAAACAGTAGCACAAAATGTGCTCACTTGATCATTGAATGCTGTATCATACCATGAAATAAGTCTGATGTGTTATTAAAATACTCGTCTTACTTCAAATAATTATAACACACATACAGAAAATTCAGGCTTTATAATGTTCTCTTCAGAATGGAGATTGTTTTCTTTTTGGCTTATGGACAAAGAAGTGCTTAAGTTTTGTTGGCAAGCAGCCAAGGTTGAGCTGGTAGAACTCAACCAACTGCAGAAGATCATAAAACTTGGTTTTTCCACCATCCAGTGTGTAACATAGTTGATTTTTTTCCTCCATCTAGCAGATAAAAAGAAAAAGGTTATTGCCAACTTTTAAATGATTTGAATACATTTTTGAGTTTGATACAGACTAATCAAAAGTTAACTAATTAAAGCTCTACAAGCTTTAAATTACTAGAGAGCTTTATACAATACAATTTACTATTTTTGAACTATTAGGTCATCAAGAAATTAATGTTGCTTTTTTTTAGATGAAAAAACCCGTACATCTTACATAACAAAACAAAACATTTATTAAATGAAATAGTCTCCACTCTTATCAATGATGTTTTTCCATCTTAAAATTAGGTTGTTAATGTCCTGATTAAAGAAATCACTTGGCTTTGAAGCAAAAAAACATGTCGATGTCCTCTTTAACATCTTCGACATTTGCAAATGTTTTCCCATTAAGGTGTTGTTGCAGCGAACAAAAAAAGATAGTAATCTGATGATGCCATAGCTGGAGAATATGGTGGGTGGGGGAGAACTTCTTGTGTTGCGTCAAACATGCCATATGTGAACGTACATTGTTGTGGAGAAGAAGAACACCTTTCTGATTGATGAGTGAAGGACGTTTCTGATGAAGGGCTTGATTTAAACATTCCAGTTGCTGTGGATTGAAGAGTTGAAAATAAATTACTCCTTTGATGTCTCACCAAATGCAAAGCATCACTTTCTGCAGATGGAGTTCAGGTTTTGGGGTTGGAAGTGGTTTTTGTCTAGTACTGAGCCATTGTTTTGGCATTTAATATTTGCATAAAAAATCCATTTTTCATCACTGGTGACAACTCTGTCCAAAAATGGTTCATGCGCAGTACACGCTAGAAGAGACGATGCAACATTCACACGTTG